GCCTCCAGTCAAATTTTGCTACTAATTACATATTAATCAGTAATCTGAGAAACTTTTTTTGTTTTTTGTAACATATATTAAGTCATATCACTAACTGGTTGAAATATACAGCCAAATTTTACAGTGTTTTTTTTTTACCGCTTCAAAGGATTTCGTTGAATTTCAAAATGATCCGGTTGACCTAAACCGACCCAACCAACTAAACCGATTCAAAACCATATTCATAGCGGGAATTTTTCTTTATTCTAACAGTTTATGAACGAGTTTAGAACTCCATTGCTCTGAATCTTGAACCATGAACATGCAAGACGAAGGTTTCCTTAACCCAGGTACGTTGATTATGCTTATGCACTTGATATGAACAATACGCGAATCAACATAATTGTTCATATCAAGTGCATAAGCATAATCAACGTATTGATTCTGATGCAGTTATTTATTAATCTTGTGTCAGAAATGACATGTGGACTCGGTTATTTTCTGACCAGGAACTTGAGGACTTGCAAGACATGTGCAGGAGTGGTCTGATCTTACTAGCAAGCTTGATATCACTGAGGTATTGGTTACTTCCTTTTGATGGGCGTTTGTGCTTTAAAGCTAATATCGATATGCTCTGAAACTTCAGTTGTGCAATTTAGAAAAACTTGAGCCAAACGAGGAAAGTACTTGCTTCCACAAACAAGGAATTGAAGAAACCTCAGTACACTATGAAAGGGAAAGATTTCATCAAAAAGAAATATGGTATTTTCTGAATTATTACTTAAATCAAACGCTTGAATACATGCTTCCGCATTCTGCCAGAGAATGCACTGGTTCAAGAAGCTTGCATTTTACAATCCAGCTAAGAGAGAGAGCTGGCGAAGAGAATACCTCATTACACCAATAAATTGGTATGTGTATTGATTATTTGGTTGTCTTTTTATTAGTTATATTCTGACGAATTGCTAATATCAGATATTTATTCGTTGCTGTGCAGGATGAGAGAACAAGCTCATTGTGAATAAAGGAAAAGTGGATTCCTTTACAAAGCCATGATTTTTTTTGCTCTGCATCACAGAAACTGGAGCAAGCTCTTAAGAAACAAGAAAAGTGGATTCCTTTACAAAGCCATGATTTGTTCTGCATCACAGAAACTGMAGCAAACTATGTGACGTAATAGCAAACAATTGTTCCTCAMAGTTTTTAAAGGGTGAAGAAAGAACGAATTGGGTGAAGAAATACACTGTTTATTTGAAGAGGACATCAAACAACAGTCACCAAGAGTTGCTGTTTGCATCAGACAGGTAAATTGCGGTCTCTCTCCGTTTATTGCTGCTGTGGTATAGTGAACTAGCGTATAGAGTTGCCAAGCGCCCRTCCTCCTTATCGTTCTCTTGTAGAATCGGTTAGGGCCAATGGCTAGAGATGCTTGTGTGTAATTAAACATTATCACACCGTTCCTCCTCTGCAAAATTGATTACAAACTTGTTACAAACAAACAGTCTTTAACTTTTTTTTTTATCATTGATACCAAAAGAAAACCTACCAAAGTGCCTGATCTTGTAGTTGCTCCTCCATTTCCGACGAGATCCCATTGGTTCTCGTCGTTATACTCAGTCGAGTCACGTCGGTAAAGCCCTTCTGTTAGCACAGCGACTGGTTCGTCAGCATCTTCAAAATCTTCCAGATTCTGCATCAACATTTCAACTTCGGTTGCATCCAGAAACCGAATTCTTGAGAGATTCAAGACTTGTAACCCACCTGTAGTAAGAATCAATACGTATGGTTAAATAAGCATCAGAATTCTGTAAATGAAAAACGCACTTGATATGAACAATTATGTTGATTCGGCATAAAAGAAATAGTGATTTGGCAAGTTTCTTCTTTCGATTGATCCAGATTTGGCAAGTTTCTTGATCACGTAACAAACGTAGTTTTATTAGAGAAACAGTTCAAGGGTTGAGCGTTTTTCATTTACAGAATTCTGATGCTTATTTAACCATACGTATTGATTCTTACTACAGGTGGATTACGAGTTAATCAAGTCTTGAATCTCTCAAGAATTCGGTTTCTGGATGCAATCGAAGTTGAAATGTTGATGCAGAATCTGGAAGATTTTGAAGATGCTGACGAACCAGTCACTGTGCTAACAGAAGGGCTTTACCGACGTGACTCGACTGAGTATAACGACGAGAACCAATGGGATCTCGTCGGAAATGGAGGAGCAACTACAAGATCAGGCACTTTGGTAGGTTTTCTTTTGGTATCAATGATAAAAAAAAAAGTTAAAGACTGTTTGTTTGTAACAAGTTTGTAATCAATTTTGCAGAGGAGGAACGGTGTGATAATGTTTAATTACACACAAGCATCTCTAGCCATTGGCCCTAACCGATTCTACAAGAGAACGATAAGGAGGAAGGGCGCTTGGCAACTCTATACGCTAGTTCACTATACCACAGCAGCAATAAACGGAGAGAGACCGCAATTTACCTGTCTGATGCAAACAGCAACTCTTGGTGACTGTTGTTTGATGTCCTCTTCAAATAAACAGTGTATTTCTTCACCCAATTCGTTCTTTCTTCACCCTTTAAAAACTATGAGGAACAATTGTTTGCTATTACGTCACATAGTTTGCTACAGTTTCTGTGATGCAGAACAAATCATGGCTTTGTAAAGGAATCCACTTTTCTTGTTTCTTAAGAGCTTGCTCCAGTTTCTGTGATGCAGAGCAAAAAAAATCATGGCTTTGTAAAGGAATCCACTTTTCCTTTATTCACAATGAGCTTGTTCTCTCATCCTGCACAGCAACGAATAAATATCTGATATTAGCAATTCGTCAGAATATAACTAATAAAAAGACAACCAAATAATCAATACACATACCAATTTATTGGTGTAATGAGGTATTCTCTTCGCCAGCTCTCTCTCTTAGCTGGATTGTAAAATGCAAGCTTCTTGAACCAGTGCATTCTCTGGCAGAATGCGGAAGCATGTATTCAAGCGTTTGATTTAAGTAATAATTCAGAAAATACCATATTTCTTTCTGATGAAATCTTTCCCTTTCATAGTGTACTGAGGTTTCTTCAATTCCTTGTTTGTGGAAGCAAGTACTTTCCTCGTTTGGCTCAAGTTTTTCTAAATTGCACAACTGAAGTTTCAGAGCATATCGATATTAGCTTTAAAGCACAAACGCCCATCAAAAGGAAGTAACCAATACCTCAGTGATATCAAGCTTGCTAGTAAGATCAGACCACTCCTGCACATGTCTTGCAAGTCCTCAAGTTCCTGGTCACTAAATAACCGAGTCCACATGTCATTTCTGACACAAGATTAATAAATAACTGTATATGGATACATAAAGTAAGAAGAAACTAACCTTTTGAGTTCTCTATCTGATTACCCATCTGTTGTGCCCAAACAGAGCAAAAAAGGCGCATGTTAGTAGATGAGTCAGGAGGCAAAGAGGTTACTAACATTGTGCTTCGCCAACCTATAAAGTATATGAGGAAGAACTGTTGGCTATTTTACCTCACATTGTTTCTTAAGAGCTTGCTCCGATTTTTGTACTAATCATCCATGGCTTCGTCAAAAGATGCCTTTTTCCCATTATGCTGGTCTGGTAAAGATGCTTGAGACAGCTCTCATCTAATTTAGACACATGAAACGAAAGTATCAGTCAACCATATTGAAGAATAATCCCCCAAAAAAAGGCATCTGAGCAAGAATTTGTGGTCAACAGTGAAATTCAAGAATGTTTCTGAGCAAGTCATTAGAGGGAGATCCTAAGTCGGAGACAATATATGTTTGCCTTGTGAACAAAGGTAAATAACTTCGTTTTTAATTCTCAATCGAATGTATTTTTAAGAGAGAAGTTTTGAACAGTCACACACACCTCTTGCGGTAGAATTTCTGTCCGTGAGGTGAGCTATCTCGATTCTCGAAAGCATTGAAAAAGGCCTGTGGTGGAATATTTTCAGAACATTAGTACTCAAGTAATGATTTTGAAAACCCAACAAAAAGAGGTAATGAATTATAAGCAAAGCAATCGAAACATACCGATCCTGAAGAGGACGATCCTAATTCGCAAGCAACACACGAGCCTTACAAAAGCATTAAATATTCCGCCGAAGCTTCCATCGCGAGAAATCCTCGTCGTAGAGCTGTATCTACCCGAAACTGGACCTGATGCTACAGGTTGCTTCGTCTAAGATTCGAGAAACCCAGAAATTTACCCAGAAAATACCAGATCCTTTAGATCTTCGCTCCGATCATGGCACATGGTAGAAAATTAATCTATTCCGCCGGCGGAGAAAAGAGAAGGGAGGCCTCCGACGATCGGTTTCTGCGACTAGAAAAGGGAAACCAAATAAAACATTTTGGTTGTTTTTGGGCCGATAAATTTCACCTAGATGGGCCGATAAATTGGAGCAAGCTGTTTTTGGGCCGATAAATTTCACCTCTATGGGCCGAAATCTGTTTGTCTGACTATGAAGCCCATGGCACGACCGAACTAAAAACAAACAGGTTTGGTTTCTAGGAATGAAAAAACAGATCTATAAATTACCGACAACATTCGTTCTCTTTGGTCCCAAATAATACGATGACGAAGATGTCCGATCTTCCCGAGGATTTGGTAGCGGAGATACTATGTAGGGTTCCCATAACATCTCTGAGAAGAGTGAGATCTACTTGCAAGAAGTGGGATGCTTTATCCCAAAACACTCTGATTTTTGGTAAATCAGCATCGGCGAGGAAGCAGTTTATCGGATTCATGATGATGGATTCTAGGGTTTGTTCCTTGAGATTTGATCTGCAAGGAATTCGCAACGACCAAGACCTGGTCGATCCATCTATAAAGCAAGTAAGTATACTTGACCATATCCAAGTATCTAAACTCTTTCACTGCGATGGTTTATTGTTATGCGTTATCAAAGACAACTCGAGGCTCATGGTGTGGAATCCGTATTTGGGGCAAACGAAGTGGATCCAACCAAGAAACAGTTTCCATAGACTAGACAGGTATGCACTCGGATATGACAACAACAACCGTAACCACAAAATCTTGAGGTTTTTGGATGATCCTGACTACAACGAAGTCGGTCAAGCATACCACCTTTTAATGTTCGAAATTTACGATTTTAGCTCTAATTCGTGGAAGGTTCTTGATGTCACTCCCGACTGGGATATTCAGTTTTATCAACGCGGCGTGACTTTGAAGGGAAATACTTACTTTTTCGCTCAGGAGAAAACTATTTCAGTGGGTGAAGCAGAAATCACTGAGATCAACGATTTTTTACTCTGTTTTGATTTTACAAGAGAGAGATTTGGACCGCGTCTATCTCTGCCTTTTCACTCTTATGACGAAGAAACCGTGACTTTGTCTTGTGTTAGAGAAGAGCGGCTCGCTGTGTTATATCAGCGCGTTGCATTAATCGAGACAATGGAGATTTGGATTACGACTAATATCGAGCCTGATGCGGTGTCGTGGAGCAACTTTCTGAAAGTGGAAATGAAACCTCTCACTGGCTTTCAATTTGAGGTTGAAGCTGGGAGTTTCTTCATTGACGAGGAGAAGAAAGTCGCCGTAGTTTTGGATCTAAACAAATATAAACGGACCGAGACATGTCGCTACCAAACAGCGTACATCGTTGGACAAGAGGGATACTTCAAATCTGTGAAGATGGGAGAAGCTCCAAACCTCGGGATACCTGACCATTTCGGGTTTACTCCGCACATATATTGTCGCCCACTTGTGTGTTCTTCTTATGCTCCAAGCTTGGTGCAAGTGCAAATGTACCAACTCGGCAAAAGGAAAGAAAGAGATTAGTGATTAGTTTGTTTCATTCATTATACTTTCGTTCATGTCGTTTCCGAACAAGAACTATATAATCAATTATTAAGTTGTGTTTTGCTATTTATCATCTACTAAAGAATTCGGCTTTTGCATATTTTAGCATCTTTTTCGATGCTGTATTCTAGCAACAATCCATCTCCTATGGGGTGAAAACCCGAAAATCTTACTAACATCACTTCGGTTTTCTAAATATTTTGGCAGTAATTAAGTTCGCCCTACTCAACCTAATTTTGTGATCATGTTTGGTTCCCGGGAGTTGTCCTGAAAAAAACCTTACTCTGTGGTTTGCGTGCTTAGATCGATAGACTTCCAAAAACAATTTTACCAAAACAAGTGAGTGAGCTTCACACTAAAAGAAAATCACAATTTTCTGACGGCCATATCGGTGCAAAGCGGTGTTTACGAACAAGTAAATTTCACGCCAAACATTAGCCAGGACGGACCAGTAATCGAAAACGACAAGGTTTGTTATAAACTTTTCTGAAGTATTTTCTCTAGTACAAGACTATTACGCTTGATTGCCATATTGAAACAAATCGGAAAATGCAAGAATTTCCAGCGAGCTCAACAGTCTCGGATCTGCTGAGCCGGGCGGGGCCAGGGAGCTCGAGGTGGTCTATGTATGGCATACCACCAAAGGAAGAACTAAGGCCGAGGCTGAACCAGAGACCTGTAAGTAAGCTGAAGATGGGTGATGTGGTGGAGCTGACTCCACCAATTCCTGATGAGTCTCTGCCTGAATACAGAGCAACGGATGTATGATCGAGGGCTCGGGTTTTCCGGGCCTGGGACCATGGTCGGATGGGGAAGCTGATGATGAGTCCTCTGATTATTAACTAGTCCATGTATGTAAATAGTAATGATTAATTTGCTGTACATATCAATGGTTTACATATCAAAAGTTTACAAAGCGTTGCCAATTTATTGAGATAACTCTCTCGAACCAAAGGACATGTCTTGTGACCCATAATCATCGTAACCTTAGAAAAAAATTGTTATGTTTTTTGAACCAATAGTACAATGACAATGATGTTTGCAAAAACTTAAGAAATTAATCATTACTACAAGCCTCAGGAGTTGAGACTATCAAAGGAATTTGTATGCCCTCATTTGTTTTTGTTGGGGATAATATCTAACTGCAGACCTTGTTCTAATTTCAACTTTCAAAATAGTCACAGCAAAAACAGCTCTTCCTATTCAACATTCTGCAGCCTATTAGTTAGTCTCTATAAAGAATACCTTGTACCACTATAGATTGACATTTGACCATCAATTCTTAAAATATCCTTAATAGCTCAGAGCTTCCCGCACAGTGGGCCATTGCATATAATGAAACACCAATATCAAGAACATGAAGATCTTTCTTATCTTTGGGCTCTTGTGCTAGAATCTGCAAGATAGATGAGTTTGCCATGTTATTAGTCTTCTGAAACATCTTAACTTCTGCTGAAGCTAAGGTACAAAAACAAAATTTATCCAAAATGTACAATCAATGCCACCAACTGTATGGACTTACCCAAGATCAGATTCTATACGTTCCTCTGAAGGGTGTAATCCCTGGAAAGTGGATGCTAACTTCCTTGAAGAATTAAACTCTTGAACAAAGCTACCGAGAGTCAGCTGACAGCGGTCAGTATGGGACACGAATATGATCTGGAATGATGACATTTTGACTTTCACTGATTAACATCTTGCAACATAACAGCTTTTGATTCCAAGTTTAGGACGACGAGCCTGAGACATTGTAGGTGTTCCAATCACTCCAGGGTTATGCCGAACAGCTTTCTGATTTGATTTAGGCTTCCCCTCCTTGTTCTGTAAGGGTCCTGCATTAAGTACAAGTTGAATAACAATATATCAGAAGTTATGACAAGAAAAGGTTTCTATCACCACGACTTCCCCAATGGATTGAAAAAACAGATTCTATATAAAAAAAACAACAGAAGCTACACGCACAACATAAAGTGCAGCCTTAAGCAACATGGTTGCCAGGAATAGTGTCAGAATCACACAACATCCACTCAATTCGTAAGTATTTGCATATAAATTACCTTTTGTATGATCACCAACTTCTTGTTGTTGTGTTCTTGCATACTGGCTTCCTTCATTCCCACGCTATCTCTTCAAAAGACCCCTGTTACAACGCTGGGCATTAAGAGACACTCATACAGAAGTTTGACTGAGTTGATCAATCTTTGAAGTTTGCATTTGGCGTCCCATTTTTTCTGATGAAAGAAAGGTTTTTGATGAATGAATTAGGGTGTTCAGAAATGAAAGAGAAAGCAAATACCCCATCTTTTGATCAATGAGGAGTTGGAAGCGGGTCGTTCTGTTAATGAAACTGCTGCACGGTATATACTTCCACGCACTTGTCAAAATTATATCGCTCATTTCAGGGCTGCAATCAATAGAAATTTGAAGAAGGCAACAAATTGGCTTAAGCATATACAATATGAAACACCATGACCATAGCAACCAAGTGAATACGATCTAGAGATATCAATACGATCTAAAGTTCTGCTCTCATGGATGTCCCATCTAAAAAAACGAATATAATAAATTGACCAAACGCTTCCCCACACAAACTGTTCTTGATACAAAACACCATGACCATAGCAACCAAGTGAACATGTTAAATACGATCTAAAGTTTAGTCAGATTATGCTGCTCTCATAGATGTCCCATCTAAGAAACATGAATATACTTAAATTCACCAAACGCTTCCCCGCACAACTGTTCTTGGGGAATCCATTTAAGATCGGATCCCAACTACTGAAAGTATAACCCACATCTCAAACCTTTCTTGGAAAGAAGATGTACAATTTCTCGTAATCACAACAAACGTTTGGGGAACACTTCAAACTGATTCAAGAAACAATGCAGGCAGCAACAGTTTCCTACACCGAAATCTCACAAAATAACATCTTTAATATCAACTGTTCTTGTCCCCAAGCAACCACAAATCTCTATTTCCAAAATCAAATCAAAGGATATAGAAACATTCTGGATTAGTTCATTTCAGTGAGCATCACCCTCAATGTCCCTGATTGGAAACAGAATGTACCATGATTGGTGTATTTGGGATGTGACTTTATAGACTACGTCTTACTCGAAAGTCAAAACTCCAAAACTCCTTTCTCTTTTACTGCTTCTGTGTGGTAATCCATTTGATGCAGATTTCGACTGAAGAACAGGTTACATATTTCATCGCAGCCTCAAACTGTCCAAACAAACTAAAAAGTAAAGGGATATTC